GGGACGCGGCCGGCCCCCCCCCCGCCAAGCTGGCGTGACAAAGCAGAGAGGAGCCTTCACACCTGGGGGGAACGAAGGTTTAGAGGGGCTCAGGGAGGTGGCAAGGACTCCCTCGGCCCCGCTTGGCTTCACTTCGGGTGGAGCAGGAAGCAAAGGGCAAGTGGTCGTGGGCGACTGGTGCCTCCTGAGTCTGGGGGGGCACCCACAGAAGCCAGGGACGGGGCTAGCAAGCACCTGCAGAAGCCACTGGTGGCATCGGCAGTGGGGACAGAGCTGGCAAGCACCTGCAGAAGCCAGCGGCAGCGGGGACCAAGCTGACGAGCACCCACAGAAGCTGCCGACAGCATCAGCAGTGGGGACAAAGCTGGCGAGCACCCACAGAAGCCGTTGGCAGCGGGGACAGAGCTGGCGAGCACCCGCAGAAGCTGCCAATGGCATCGGCAGTGGGGACGGAGCCGGTGAGCACCTGCGGAAGCCACTGGCAGCAACAGCCCTGTCGCGGGGGGGGCACATGCCCCGCCGTGCCTACCCTACTAGTCACCTATGCAGTGTTTTTCAATCATCTAAGTAGCAAGTACCCCCTAACTTCTGAAAATGTTAATAAGTACCCCAACACTCAATTTTCCAGGGGATTTTATATTTACAGACTAATGTGTGCCATATGTTGGAAGAAGGGTTGTGTATATAAGGCCGGAATATGACCAATGTCTGATCTGGTGTGGGTAGAGTTGCCACCTTTTACACCAGGGGTGCACAACTCAAGTATATACCTGGGCTAGAGGTGATGTTGACCAAAGCTGGGAGGGCTGAACCCAGTGCTGTGCAAAGCGTGGCACACCAAATTATTACTGGGCAATTTAAAGCGCCACGCAGTGTGCAGTGCACCAAATTTTTTGCCATAGTTTTGAGAGGAGGAAGGGGCAAGAGAGAGAGAGAGTGTGTTGGGGTACCCGCTTACCCCCTGCCTGTGTCTTGCATACCCCCAGGGGTATGTGTACCACAGGTTGAGAAACTATGACCTATGGCACCAGTCTCAGCCCTGCCTGACTAAAGAGGCTTGAAACTTGGGGTGGAGCAGGAATCAAAGGGCAAGTGCCCCGGTGCACACCCCTGCCTTTGATGATGCTATAGTGCAGCAGGGAGAAGAGGGGCTTTTTTTTTTTTCTTTAACTGTGCTTCTTGGGGAAGATTTTAAGACCAGTTTCTCAAAGCTCCTTGGGCTACACTGTGCTCCCCAGACTGGTGTGATGGGGGCTGAGTGGGCCTCAGCCCCTGGAGACTACAATAACCCAGGTCCAGTTCATAGAAAGCCAGGACTGGAAGGGACCTCACAAGGTCATCAAGTCCAATCCCCTGCTCAAGCCAGGATCATCCCTGACTAAACCATACCAGACAAGTGTCTCTCCAATCTGCTCTTGCAAACACCCAAGGATGGAGATTGCACATCTTCTCTAAATGGCCTGACCCAGTGCTTGACCACTGGTTGCACCCCTAGCTGAAAAGCTCATACTCTTTTCAGTGCTTGAGAGGGGAGCTCAGGAATACTTTAACACAGCACAGCACTTTTCCTAAGAACAGGGGTTTGCTCCTGGGGCTTTGACCACACTTACTCCTTTCCCTCCAAGTCTCCAGCCAAGATTGCCTTTCTTGCTCTTACCCACATCACAAAGGGAGCTGTGTCTCGCTAGGGCTGTACATGCAGCCTGTGCCGTGGAGGGAAGGACCCCCCAGGCTGTGCTGTCCTCAAGCTGTAGCAGAGCCCTGCATGCAGCTGCACTGTGGAGGTCATTAGCAAAGGCACCTGTGGCCATGCATGGCAGAAAGGCTTGGCATTTATTTAGGGCGGGATCCTGCTCCTAATTAAGCCTGTGCAGAGCTCTCCAGGCCCAGCAGCTTGACCTGACAGTGCCCCTGGCTGTGCTAGCAAGGTGAAGACCTGCCCAATTCCATGTCATGAGTTAACTTCAGGAAAATAAAGGCCCTTTTTCTCCTTCAGTCCTGGGCTGGAGCATCTGCAGTGCCCCTACACTGCAATTGAATCCATTGATCAGAGGATGGGAAGTCACCTCTACTCTTTTCAGTATTGGTGGGGGGGGATGAGCTTAGAAATTCATTAATACAGATATAGCAGTTTTCCTAAGAGCAGAGGTTTGCCTGTATGCCCTTGACCAAATTAATCCCTTTCCCTCCCAGCCAAAGTTACCTTCTTGCTTTTACCCTCCACCACAAAGGGAGTTGCATCTCACAAGGGCTGTACATATGCTGTTAATATGGATCTTCTCCGCTGGAAATTAGAACCTCTGGCTCCATATAAATATTAATATGTTATTATCAATATGCATCACAATTGCCTTAGTGATGTGCATTTATTTTAAAATGTTATCTAACACCGTGTAAAGACCAAATGTACTGATTATTAATAATAATAGATAAGCAACCACATACTGGAAGGATAAAAATCCATCAATGGTATTTAGTGACATTTAAAAATTGCAAGATAAGAGTCTCAATGCTTTATTCCCAGAATCCCTAGAAAGACTTTCCTCCAGTGACATTGTTGCATATATAGTGAGGCTGTTTTTTATTCTGTAGGCTGATCCAGTCATTGATGCTGAGAGTGTGTTATAGGGATATAAAATGTATGATTGTATGATGTCTCATCAATGCTAATATGATAATATAGTGTGAGAGTGGTGGGTGTTTCCTGAAATCATGTCTTGGGAAAATAACAGCATAGATTCACTAGGGGAATCATCCCACAGTAAATAATCATTTCTTGCACCTCCTAGTTTCTCTATCCTTCTTTAACACTGTTACTCATTAACTGTGCCAGCACATTCTCTAATGCTATACGGCATCTCTGCACGAGTTTGTATCAAAAGTCAATGTACTAGTTATCTAGATTGTGTTTTTATTCTGACTTTCCTCTAGGAACTGAAAAACAAGAGGCTGGTCCTCTCCAACATTTGGGTTATGTTCCAATTACAAAAGAGTTGTGATGCCACAATGTGCTTCATTCAGGCGTGCAAAGGGACAACCCTTGATGTAAGCAAAATGCCTGGACAGAGCAGATCTGCCAGTGTAGCTCATTCCAGCGTTGTTCATCCATCTCAGCCTGACGTTAAGACTGGATCCAAAGCCCTTTTAAGTCAATGGAAAGACTCCAAATGGCTTTGTTGGGCTTTAGATTAGACCCCTGAACAGCAAATGCCACATGTGCTGGATTGTCCTAGTGGAATCGTTAGGTCTCTCGCATGGCTGGTGCCCGAATGTGATCAGACAGGGTTGGGAATATGGAAATGAATAGCCCTTTCTCTTGTATCCCTTTCCTGAGTTGATGTTGTTTTCATCTTTTCTTGACTCCCATTGCTTTCTGCAGCATTGCAGCTTTTATTTTTATAAAAAGGGCACCTTAGCTTTCAGTTGACCAGTAAATACTTATCATATTTTCCCATTTCCTTAATGTGATGGATGGTTTGTTACCAGGGCCAGATTCAGGGGAGGGTGCAGTGGCACAGATGCACCCCACTTTCATTCCACAATGCCATGAGAGCAGTAGCTGAGATGCTTTTTCCATCTCCAAAGCAAGTAAGAATTCCTCCCCCCTCCATGCTCAACCACGCATCCCGCCCCAGTCCTTTTCCCTCTCCCCTGCCCACTGCTCCACTGTCTCCTGCAGCCAGGGGCAGGGGTAGGGAGGAGATCCAGAGTTGCTCTTGCCTGCTCTAGCTGGGCTCTGCGATGAGCCAGGCTCAGCCAGGGATATCTCCCCGCCAGGTCCTCCCGCTGTTCCCTGCCAGCCTGGAAGCAAGCATGGGGAAAGGAAACCCACCCACTGCTTCTGTCTCCAGCCAAACCTGGCTCCATGTGCAGCACAGCTGCAGTGGGGCAAGAGCGGCTCTTGCACCCCCACCTTCTACCCCTGCTCAGCTGGGAACAGCTGCAGCAGCAGGCAGGGAATGAGGGGAATAGGGGTAGGGATGTGCTGCTGGAAGGGAAGGGAAGGGAAGGGAGGTGGGAGGGGAAGATCCCTACTTGCTTGAGAAACTTTTTAAAAGTCCTCTGCTACTGGTGCTGCAGTTCAGTTTGCCCACCCTGGCATGGGAAAATGGGACCCAGGGTGCAGCCACCTCTGCAGTGCAGGTCACTGCTGCTTTCTGAAGTCCTGGATCCACCCATGTTTGCTACCTCATTGCAAGTGCTTACATTACACTTCAGTGTCTTGTGTTTTTAAATTAATGATGTGCACCAGCTTGGGCACCAGGAGGAGACTATACCCCCAGTCTGTAATACTGTCATGGAACAGCACTGATATTTCATTTTTAAACTGAAACTGAAGCCAGGGCTAGGTTACCTGAGCCCCGGGGTTGAAATGCCGAAACCCTCTGCAATTAAAACTAAGAATCCCAGGGGAGTCAACCCAACCTTGCTTTCCTTGCCATGTGCAAATGAAATCTTGAGCTGTGCACATTAGCTGCAGACTTTGTAAAGCAAAGTCCTTGTCAAGATGTCATGGTACTTTTTTAAAGAGTGGAGTCTTGCCCTGAGATCCTTGAGCAGAAAACTTCCTCTGACACTGTTGTGCTTCAACTCCAAAAGCAGTGGCATTTCACTGGGAATATGCCTAGGTCATTTTTAAAGCTCTTCAGGTTCTGTGGGATCTTTAGTCCTAAAACACTGTAACATTTCCAAGATTATTGTGGGTTTTACAGCCCCTTCTCTGCAAATTATGGCC